CTTGCTTGATGAAAATATGAGGGTGGTTCATTCAATAGGTAGATGATCTCAAGGGAGGGTCAAATTGTATAGCTTTGGTTTGAAGGCCAGGAAGTGATGGAGGAGAGAGAGATAGAAGATAATTCTGAGGAGGGTACCACATGTCATTTAGTTTGCTGCATCACCCTACCATAAAAGCTTTGTCAAAGAGATTATAACATGAGTGGGTAAAGCAGAAATGGGTTGATCACACAGGGCGACTTTGGGGCTATAATGTATGGCATTGGTGCCAGCAGTAATAACCCTTTCTTTACTTCAGCAAATGTCATGCATTTCTTAACGAGGCATCTATCCATAGTAATCACTGGAAAAACAATGCTCTTGATTGTAGTCACGGTCAGCAGGTCATATATCCTTTTGGGGATCAAGCTTCACTGGCATATTTGGTGGCCATCTGAACCTCCTAGTTGCCCCATCTAGCATCATTAGTATCTGGAAAGCTTGAGAAAAGGTGATTAGGAAGAAAATGCTAGGTCTTTCCTGATTGTGCATATCATGGTGCCCCTCTATGGCACATACTTAGGAGAAACCTCAGCACTGTTTCCCAAGAAATTGGGATGGGCATGCTTACACAGTGAGATAGTATTTGTGGCTTTTATCCTCTCTCTCTCTCTCTCTCTCTCTCTCTCTCTCTCTCTCTCTGTCTGTCTCTCTCTCTCTCCCTCCCCCTGTGTGTGTGTTCATGTGTGCGAGCACACACACACACACACACACACACACACGTGTCCCTTGTAGATAAAGTTTGCCTTATACATAGGAAGTACTGTCAAGTAGTAATTAAAGAAACAAGCAAATCTACAACCTTTCTTGGTGCTGAAAAGGTGACATACACCTCAGGAGCAAGAAGGAAAGCCCTTTGTGTATTTGTGTGTCAATGGGCACATGGGTGGAAGGAAATAAGACCGATTTAGGTGTCATAAATAAACAGCTTTTGTTAACAGTGTTGGGTTCCCTGCTGGTAGGTGGTGGGAAAACACTTGGTCTTGTTGTAGCTAGTCAGACTTCTTGTAACAAAGTAGCCAGTGGCTTCAAAATTAGATGATGGGAAAGACTGTGAAGTAAATATCTTTGACTTCAATAGCTTAGAGAACATGACCTTAGAGTGGAAGGGTTGAGTGGAAACAGTATTTACCAGTGTGGATGGGTGCTTCGGGGAGAGTTTACTGTGTAATATTGATGTTGTATGAAGCAGAAGCACATTCAGGCACTTTATAAATTATACAGTGAATATTTACCACAGTTTTTATAGAGTGCCAACTTTCAGATTTCTTCTAGATACAGACGAGTCCTGCTGTTGTTGCGTTTGTACTTGCATGGCTTTTAGGTAAGGGAAACCCAAACACCCTGCTTCCTTGCTATTGACCCAGCAAGAGAAAGTGATCATCATTCTTACATGACTTCAGAGGGACCCAGTGCCATTGCAATCTTAGTTTCAATCTTAGTCCATTTCATTCACTATTTAAGTGCAAGTGTGTTCTGGCTAGTTTTATGTCAGCCTGGCACAAGTTAGAGTTATTTGAGAAAAGGAACATCAATTAAGAAATCATCTCCAGCTGGGTGGTGGTGGGTCATGCCTTTGATCCCAGCACTCAGGATACAGAGGCAGGTGGATCTCTATGAGTTCCAGTCCAGCTTGGTCTACAGAGTGAGTTCCAGGGTAGCCAGGACTACACAGAGAAAGCTGTCTAGAAAAATAAAAGTAACCAAAAAAAAAAAAAAAAAAAAAAAAAAAAGGAAAAAACAAAAACAAAAAAGTCACCTCCATCAGATTGCTTTTGGACAGTTTGTAGGACATTTTCTTGATTAAGGATTGATGTTGGAGGGTCCAGCCCATCGGGAGCAGTATCACCCCTGGGCCTGTGGTCTCAGGTGATATAGGAAATTAGGCCCTGGGGAGCAAGCCAATAGCAGGATTCTTCATGGCCTCTGCTTCAGAGCCTGCCTCCCTTTAGTTCTTGGCCAGATGTCCCTCAGTGATGGAGAGGGACTGACTTGAGAGTTGTAAGATAAAATAAACCTTTCCTCCCTCCCTCCCTCCCTGAGTTGGTTTTGGTCACAGTGTTTTATTTCTGCAATAGAAACCCTGAACAAAATCTTAATTCATTTAATATTTTCAAAATTTCTCGCATAATTCTCCCCTGACAATCATATCCTAGTTCTTGTTCTGAGAACTAAGCCTTAGTAATAGTGAGATCTTGTTCTTACGGTTCACACTACATACAGTTTGAAGTGTCTTCTAGTTGATATTTTATTTAAAGCAAAGGGAAAGAAAGAATATTGGTACATCTGGAAATTCTCAGTGGAAGAAAGTCTCATTCAAAGAAGTACAGTTTTTACAAACCATTTAGAAAAAACAAAAAAGAAATGCATATTACATATGTTAAAAGACCAGACTTAGAAAATATCGAGCCTGGTGTGGTGAAGCAAGCTTGGAATCCCAGCATTTGGGAGGCGGAGGCAGAGGGATAAGAGATCAAGGTCAGCCTGAGCTTCATTGTCAGTTGTGGATAGTGTATAATATAACGAGATTCTGTCTAAAGTAAAAACAAAACACCTTGAATTATTTCTTCTAAGCATATGTAAAATTGAGGATGTAGAAGGAGTCACCAAAGACCCTGCCCACATCTGGAGGGTTCCCAGAATAACACCAGTTTTCTTGGGCCACATGACTCCACTGATTAGTTTAAGACAGATTTCTCACACGTCTTTTCATGTATCTATTTTAGTTTGTATCATTAAAGTATAAAGAACAACCCACTGAAAAGAACATACTCCCTGGGGTGGTGGAGTGTACCTGTAATACTAGCATGTAGGAAGTAGAAACAGGAAGATCATTCGTTTGCAGCCTGCAAAGTAGCAAGACTCTGTCTCAAGAAAACAAAACTAAACCAAAATAAAATATGGGCTAGAGCTGGCTCAGTGCCACCAAATCTGATGAGCTGAGGTCAACCCCCAAAACCCACATGATGGGAGGAGGGAACTGACTCCCTGCAAGGTATTGTCAGACCTCCACACATGCACTGTGGCATGTGTGTGCCCTGAAATACACACATACACACAGTGAATGAATGTTAAAAAAAAAAAAAATAGAAAACAAAAATATGTATTGACTCTATCACTCCACCTTGAAAAAAAGGACTAGAAGTCTTCCTCTGATACTATCAAGTGGCTAGTTGCTCTTCGTATTTCCTCTTCTGTCCAGTAATGTTGTTGATAATTTAAATTGGACCAGATTTGTGAATTGGTGTCTTGTTGTTGGGTACCATGCCTTGTAAATGTTCCCACCGGTTATCATTTGGTCTCAAATCTAATATCCTATGCATATTGATGCTGTGTTAAAATAGATTGCTTGATTACTTATTTAAAATTAATGGTAGTAATGATAAATAGAAACACAATTCTTATGAAAAAGCAATAAATATGTGATAATAGTAGTAATGAAATGAGAGAAGTTGGCACAGTTTCAACTGTTGGCACAGATCTGTCTAATATCTGGTTTTACAGGAGGTAGCTGGATTCTTACAGCTGTTTCTGCCTTTAGTATATTCTAGTTTGTTGTTTTGCCTAAGTATACGAAGAAAGTCTGGGTTCATGTAGATACAAAGTTGGAAAAGAGAGGACTATATTTCTAGTCTTTCAGTAATAGTGGAAATCTTTGATATCACAGCAAAGCTCCAGGAAAGGTAGTTTATCTTAAAGGTGGTTTGTTGTGCAGTTGAAACCTGATCACTGAGATTTCACCCTGTATTAAAATTTATTGATCTGAGAGTTGGAACCAGTTCATTCTGTGGGCTCGGTGTTGTAACATTACACCTTAGTCATTTGGAGACCATTTCTCCAATGAACTATGTAAATCTTCCACATCTCATCATCATAGCTCATTAAGCATTTTAAGCTTCATTTTCATTTCCGTCACTACATTTCATGTCCTTGACAAAGTCTTGGCTCTTGGGAAGGTGTCAGGGTCATAACAGATGCTTCTACTGAGTCAAACAAATGTGTTCTCTTTCTGAAAAAAATCACGTCCACATTTGTTGTGTTAGTAGGCCAGTAACATGTAATTGATAGACTAATATAGATGACAGTGAGTAGTGGCCTCAATTTCCCTTTTATTATACTATCAAAATGATATCTTTTAAATCCACATTTAATTAATGGTTCCCTTATCTTTGGTTCCACTTTCTGAGATTATATTAACCGAGGACTCAGTTACTTGAGGACAACAGCTGCTCAAGAATATTAAGTGGAACTATCCAGAAACAGTTCATCAGTTTTAAATGTTGTTCTGTGTGGTATGAGATCTTAGAATATGCTACTTCACTTTAATTAGGAATGAGCTGACGTTTTGGCCCAGGGAGTCCATACTGTATATACTAAACCTCTCCCTCGCTTATGTGCCTGGTGACTTGACTGTTCCAGTTACCAGATTGACTGTCCAGGTTTACAGTGTTTGTATTCAAGTAAACCTCATTTTGCTTTACCATTAATGCCCAAGTGCAAGAGCATTGATGCATTAGTTGTTTAAATAAAAAGGTGAAGACTCTCACCTTAATACGGGAAGAAAGTCATGCCAAGTCACTAACAGTTGTTGTTCTTAACCGTTTACAGTGTCTAATTTACAAGTTACCCTTTACTGTAGGAATGTACGCTTAGGGGCAGAACATTGTACGAAGCTGGTGGTATATAGCTCAGTCATGGACCAAGTGCTTCTCCTAGCTCTGGTTGCAGTTTCTAGCACCACATAGTAGAACAGAAACACGATGTAATAGGATTTGGAGGGCCCCACACATGCTAGGCAAGTCCTGTACCAGTGCTCAGCCCCATTAGCCATACTTTTGAAGAAGTTGTTTTTAGATGGATGAATCAAGAAAATAACATAATTAAAAGAAATAAGTAATAATGGTCACTAAGTCAAATTGATGTGCACGTGAAATATTTGCACTCCCTTTTTCATGCTCCAGGTTAAAAAATAAATCATGACTGAATCTGCATCTAGTACAAGTGGTCAGGAGTTTGATGTGTTCAGTGTCATGGACTGGAAGGATGGAGTTGGTACCTTGCCAGGGAGTGACTTAAAGGTAGGTTTTCTTTATCGTGTATCATAAATTATATGTTGTGTGTATCTGCATGTGAGCTTCTTTTACAGTGACAATATACATGAAACAGGAATTCAAACCATTAAATATAGTTATGGCTTTACACAGTATGTGGCCTTCTTAAGTGAATTTGTAAGATAACTTGAAATACTGACAGATTGTCAGGTTTTATCCCTTGTGTTAAGGGACAGAATATTTTTAGACTGTTTTTAGTTTAAGAAAATCAACCAGTAGGTCTGAGGAGGATCATCTATCTGCTCGGGCTCTATTATGATATGGTCAATATATTTGGAAATGACAGACCTAGAAGGTCTAGCTTTTTTGATGTTTTGGTAATGACTTGGTAGCATTGAATGGATAGCTGCATTCCTGGGGTCCTAGCGGTCTTCCATAGAAACTGGGTAAAATAATACGAAAAATCAATAGGACTATTCACTGCCTATAAATTATTTATACTATGAGCATGAGTTTTTGTATAATTACTTTTTCAGCAGCAAGCTCTTTTTATAAGTCAGCCTGTGATCTTATAGAAAGGGCACTTTTCATGAGGGTACAGTCTGCTCACTGTGTGTGTGCTGGCCCACTGTGTGTCTCCACTCTTCATGGGGTACATTTTACTCACTGTGTGTGTGCTGGCCTACTGTGTGTCTCCACTCTTCATGGGGTACAGTCTGCTCACTGTGTGTGTGCTGGCCTACTGTGTGTCTCCACTCTTCATGGGGTACAGTCTGCTCACTGTGTGTGTGCTGGCCTACTGTGTGTCTCCACTCTTCATGGGGTACAGTCTACTCACTGTGTGTGTGCTGGCCCACTGTGTGTCTCCACTCTTCATGGGGTACAGTCTGCTCACTGTGTGTGTGCTGGCCCACTGTGTGTCTCCACTCTTCATGGGGTACAGTCTGCTCACTGTGTGTGTGCTGGCCTACTGTGTGTCTGCCACTCTTCATGGGGTACAGTCTACTCACTGTGTGTGTGCTGGCCTACTGTGTGTCTCCACTCTTCATGGGGTACAGTCTGCTCACTGTGTGTGTGCTGGCCCACTGTGTGTCTCCACTCTTCATGGGGTACAGTCTGCTCACTGTGTGTGTGCTGGCCCACTGTGTGTCTCCACTCTTCATGGGGTACAGTCTGCTCACTGTGTGTGTGCTGGCCTACTGTGTGTCTCCACTCTTCATGGGGTACAGTCTGCTCACTGTGTGTGTGCTGCCTGCCACATGTCTCGTGCCCCACTGAATCTCTCCAGGACCACCTCTGCTGCTCCACGGAACGCAGTGGTGCAAGCCCAAACTGCCTCACTTCGCATTTCTGATTTGGTTTATCTGTGTTCCTATCTCTGGGACCTTGCACCCGTCTGTGACCTTTTAGACTTTGTGTTTGTACTCAGTCATTTAGGTATTTAAACTTCCTGTCTCTCTAACAGGCTGCCACTTTGTCTGTCTCTATAATACTTGATGTTCTGTACTTTCTCAAACAGGAAAATTTTGCTCCTACCTTAGTTAGGCTTCTTGAAATCTAATCCTTTTGATGGCTGCTTGACAAATATCTTAGCCAAGTCCCTGCCCTCACTTATCCTCAGGGTTACAATTTAAACATCTGCCTGCCGTTGGAAAAATGTTTGAGATTTTAGTTGGCTTAGGTTTAATTAAGTACGAAGTAGCAGTATATGAGTTTAAGGAAACAAAAACATTGCAGTGAGATTTCGTGAAATTTGGAGAAACACCCATTTTTTTTTTTTTAATAAAATGGGCACTAATATATAGTCAGAGGTTTTTAATTCTGATCTTCTTTTATACCATAGGGCAATTATAGTCTAAACTACTGCCTGGTATACTTTAAAACAACTAAAAAAGAAGATTACAAAGCTTCTTAACATCTAGAATGGAAAATGTTTGAGGAAGTAGGAAAGCTAATTTCCTCACCTGAACATTACATATTATATGTCTCTATGGAAATAGTGTATGGTACTCACATACTATGAGTCCACTTAAAATTATTAAAGAAGATATTTTCAGTTTCTGTGTTGTATGATGACAGTTATGAAAGAAGCTAATCTTTCTGGGATGAGATTGCTCTGCAGTAACATAAATAAAGAGAAGGACAAATAGGAGTTGAATTGCTCTGATATTCTCCAAGTATCTATCTGCATGAGGCACAGTGGACACCAAAGGCTGAAATTTTTTAACTAAAAACAAACATTTTTCAAGCTCTAATGTCAACCATATATTAGCCATGTCAAGTTATTTAAAATCACAGATTGGAGAGGTAGTTAAGCCCTTGAGAGTTTCTTTTTCAGGGAACTCTAGTGTGGGTGGGAAGCTCACCACTGCCTGTAAGGCCAGTTCCAGGAGACCCAGCAGTCTTCTGGACTCCAAGTGTGCCTGCAGTCCCAGCCTTTCAACCCCAGCCACATACTCATAATTAATAATGAAATAAGTCTTGGAACTGATTACTTAAAATCCTTACATTTTTGTAAACTTTACCTAAAAAAAACAAAACAAACAAACAAAAAAAACCAAAAAACAAAAAACAATGGGAATATTAAGATCCATAAGATCTACAATTGAAAAGGAGCTGTAGCTTGAGAAAGAATGTAAACAAATACTTAGGGTGTGCATTTTCTGACTTTGCAATATATCATGGAAACTGCCTTATGCTGTTATTTCGTATGTAGGTTATCCTTATGTATTTTCACTATATGATGCATCTTGCATGTCAGGTTCATGATGAAATTTATAACTTTCTTTTAGTTAGCTTTTGGTAACAAAGGGGAGTTTCCATCCCTAAGAAATCTGGATTGCTTTAAAGTTTCCTAAGCAATGGATTTTAGAAGTTAACCTATTATTTTTATTAAGATAATCAGGTAATTAAGTAATTTAGAGAATTATAATCAGGGTTATTTGATATGACTTTTGTACTCATGTAATTACTGGGGTGTAATTACTGTGTCCAATCTACTTCATGAGTGGTAAACAGTTTGGGACCTCATTTCAACAAATAATTTTAAGAGCTGGGGAGATGACTTAGTGAAGGAACGCAGAGGTTAGAGAAAGTCCTTTTTTCAAGGAGATAATCAGGTGGAGAGTGACAAAGCAGGACAAAGACGTTCTCCTGGCCTCTGTTTGGATGGGTGGTGTGTGCATGCAATCTTCATATATACCTCTCTCTGTCTCTCTCTGTGTCTCTATCACACGCAAAATATATTATTTATAACCCTTTGAGATTCATAGTCCATATGTTGAGTAACAGTTTCCTCTGAGATTTAAATAAACCATCCTGCAGGAAATTCCCAAAGCAGGAAGACAAACAACTCAAATAGCTTCAGGAAGTCCCTGAAACTGAATAGATTCACTAGGCCTCTCCCTGCCAGAATAAGCAATAGAAGCTGAGAGTCCTCCAAAGAGAAGTGTCAGGCTGCAGAAAACACTCTCAGACAAGCTGAGCAGCAAAAAAAAAAAAAAAAAAAAAAAAAAAAAAAACAGCTGCCTGGAAGAAGCAGAAACCAACAGAGCACCCTGGAAGAGGTTTAAACTAACCTGGAAAGGACTTTCTCAAAACTGATGAGGTGCCTGCAGGCTGTTTAGTGTATTCCAGGTTCCTAGCTTCATGAGCTGTCACCCATGCTTGGGTGGCTTTGGTGATACAGCTGAGTCATTTTTTGCTTCTGAAAGTAACCCCAATAAAAATTTTTGTTCGCCAAGTTGAATTTTGATAGTATCTGTACTTTGGTCTGTTGTGGGTCCCTATCTGGAATGAGTACATGTGTGTGTTGTGTCTCCCTAGGAAAAGTATTGTCACACAACACCATCTCATTGACTACATTTTGTAGCATTTCTTACATCAAAATCTTGGTTAAGAGGTTGAGAAAATAATTTTCTACTAAACTAAAATGTTAACACTTTGACTAATTCATAAAATGTGCTTCCTCTTATCATTCTGGGGACTTTACATTACCCAGGCTGTTGCTTTTTAATGGTTTGTGTACTTATAGGCCTGTGGATTTCCTAACAGTTGCAACCTAAGTCATCCAGCTGAAGTTTATCCAGCCGATACGGCCTGGCCTCACAGGTAGAGGTCACCTTTCCGTTGTGCGAACAGGTTTTATGTTCTGTGGATTTTGCCACCTCGGAAGAACTTTCCTTTGTGACAGCCTCGTTGCTGTCTAATTACATTGTCATTTTTCTGGCTAAACTTCTCAGCAGTTATCATTGTCCAGGTTTGATTTTCTGACCCCGCTTTTCTCTGGCCTCATCTCCTTTGACCTCAGTGCCTCTTGCCTCTTTGTCGCCCCCCCCCTCCCCCCCGTTCCTGTCTTGGGGACATTTTCCTGTCTTGTCATTGGTATGTTCTGCCCCCTCCACACTGGGCTAATTCCTTGAAATAAAGCACAAACATTTGTTTGGGTGCGGAAGTGAGAGAAATAGGAACTTAACCCTCTCCGGGAGCGCCTTGCCCTCCCTGTGCCCCGTCCTTTCTTTTTTAGCGCCTTCTGTCTATCTTGTCAGTTCTTGCCGCTCTGGGGCGGAGGAGACTGCCGCTCTGGGGCGGAGGAGACTGCCGTGTTTGAAACTGACTCTCTTAACGCCGCTGTCTAAAGACAGCGTGTGCTCACATCATCAGACACACAGAAAACAGTGCACTGCGAGAGGGATGGAAGGAGGGGCCAGGGAGCCTTTAAAAACGTCCGGTGTCATTTGAGCTGAAAACGTGCCCTTTGTAAAGATGCCTTGGAAGGTGGCAGGGAAGAGAGCAGAGACGTTTCCAGAGGCAGGACCACTGCCTGTTGCAATGACAAGTGGCCGCTGCTAGTCTCGAAGACTGAAGTCATTATCCCCGCATTTCTGCCTAGACAAGCTTCTGAACTTTTACAGTTACCTAATTTGTTCTTTGAAAATGCAATTAAGCATGGGAGGACAGGAGGGAGAGGGAACTGGAATTGGTATGTAAAATAAGGTTGCTTTTCATTTAAATAAAAATTAATTTAACAAAAAGAAAATTCCAATAAGCTTTAGTAGCACAACATCTCCAGGTTAGCTATAGGAGAGGCGGCTGACCAAGTGGCTGTATAAAGGTATCTGGCAGGGCTTCCCCAGGCCTGAGTACTTTCTCTACCTGAATTGCTAATGGCGTCTGAAATATTTCTTCAGGGAGAATTAGTCTTCTGGGGCAGAAGGAGTTAGTCTCTCAGAGCCCCTCAGTAAAACGCAGATGCTCCCCTGAGAGTGATAGCATCTTATCTAGGAAGAATAATTGCTCCTCATCAGAGAGTAAGACCTGCAAACAGCCAGGCAGAAGCCGGCTCTAAATTCAGTCCCTCTCCGTAATGCATGGCTTCTTCCCCTTGTCTCGATTAACGTTTGAAACAATTTAGTGACCCCTAAAATGCATTTGGTAATTGGGATTCGGGTTTCAACACCAAAAGTAAGAAAATGGAAATCATAACTGCAATAGTGTCTTTTAGTGATCTACTAAAGAGACCCCAAAAGAGAAAAAGGGCCTTGTCCCTAGAAGCAAAAATAAAAACAGCACACAATTACAGTGGTTCAGGCAAAGCCCAATAAACAAACCTTGCCACCCTACAGGCATAATTCTTTTTTTTCCCTTCTTTTTACTGACCTGGATAGATTTATATGTAGAAAAGGTTGCCATGCTAACTTTATATTTGTCTTGCCTAACGCTTAATGAATTACTTTTGTGAAGTTTTTAATTTGATATTCTCATTTGGGGAATGGAACACTTGAGAAATTTTATATCATGGCAAAGCCATTCAGAAAAGCATGGAGGACCCAGGTGTTCAACTTGGGAAACAAAAGGAAGTGCATCGATCTTTTGGGGATTCTATATGTGGCCTCCAGTTATGTCGGTATACCCGTTCTTCCTAGCATTTCTCTTCACTAGAAATGTCATGGAAGACACAACATCCAAGTTGAGAAGCCACAGGAAGATGCAATCCCTCTGGCTTTATTTCGTAGAGTGGGATACTCTGAGAGTGCTTTGAGGGTTTTGATTTCTGAACTGAGTGGCTGTATAAAGAACAGATGTGTTCCAAGTTCTAGAGTTTTAGGGTGCCTTTCGGGGTACAGTGAAGCCTCTGAATCCTAATCCCACAAGTGTGCACATAGCTTCGTTTTACACCCTTTTTGTGTAGCAGTCCTTGAAGCCCATCCTTGGTCTCTGGCTTTGGGCTGGTCTTGGTGTCCCAAGGTGACATTGCATGTCTACTTTGTATTTAGACTGCCATTTATGACAGTTAGTGTTAGCAGAAGGAGAAGATGGCTAAGATTAAATGTTTCATTTGGAGAGATATGACCTTTTAACTTTTGAGCCAAACCCTTGCAAGTGTCGGGCCTGCACTTTTCACCCAGAGGTCTGTTCTAATGTCCTTTCGCAGACATGTATAGTGCAGGGTGGTTTCCAGAGTAGCAGCCATTACAATCCTTCCTGTCTACTGTAAATGTCTGGTGCTATTTCTCACATCTCACATTTGTCAACTAAGCATACATCAGCATGGCTAGCGGCAAGTCATGGAAGCAGAATTACTCATCTTAAGTGAATCATCATTTGCGCCTATTAAAAAGAAAACTGAACTGATAGTAGACTTTTGTATCACATCCTTTAATATCATTAAATAATGATCTAGTAGCTTGTTTTGTCTGCTCTTGCCCAGTAGATGGTACTGTCAGCCTTATTTTGAAGAACTGCTAGTTAAGCTGTTTTTTTTTTTTTTTTTTTTTTTTTTAACTTGAAGGTTTCTTTCCTTCTTTCCCCTTCAGTTGTTATTTTTAGTTCTTGTCCACAAAATTAACTTTTACCATTTTCTAAACTGACATGGACATTACCTATGCTACACACATGGCTTGTGACTTTGTATTCAGAATATATAACAGGGAGAAAACATGTTCACATTCCTCAACTGTTTCAGTTCATTCAGTCTAGAAAGTATTTAATAATGTTATACAATGAGTGTGGAAAATACAAATAACAGAGTAAAGGATCTGAAACATTTATTGTCCTTCCAACTCGAGCTGTCTACCTTTCTTTCTCTGCTAACACCGGTGGATCCTGACTGCTTTTGTGATTTATGAGAACTAGAAGGAGTGAAGAAAACACTGTGAACTCGAATCTGAGAGGGAACAGGATCCCTGCCATAGTACAGTAGCAGCGATTAAGTGTGGGGATATTTTGTTTGTGCTGTAACAAATAAAGCTTGCCTGAAGATCAGAGTGCAGAGCTAAACTACTAGTTAGTCATAGAGGCCAGGCAGTGGTGGTACACACCTTTAATCCCAGCACTCTGGAGACAGAGGCAGGCGGATCTCTGAGTTCAAGGCCACCCTGAGCTACATGAGACTGAATCTGTCTAAAAGAGAAACAGAGCTCACACAGAGGTGAGCCCAGCCCTTGGGATCACACTCCTGTAATCCCAGCACTAGGGAGGTGGAGACAGGAATGATATGGCTGTGTGGAGAGAGGATTATGAGGCAGGAGGAGACAGGCGCTCAGAGGCAGTCAGTCTGAGGCAGTCAGTCAGTCTGAGGACAGGGTTGCCCCTTCGGCCTGAGCATTGGAAGAGGTAGGAACTCTCTAGTGGCTGACTGCTGTGCTTCCCTGACCCCTCAGCATTTACCCTCAATACCTGTCTCAGGGATTTTATTATTAAGACTTGTTAGAATTCATGCTACAGTGCAGTCTTCCACATAAACATAAGCAGGTTGATGCAGAAACCCACTTTGTCTGCAGCTGCCATGAGATGAGACGCTTGTAGGACCAGGAATGAGACCGCCACGACCTTTCCTTTAGTGATGAAATGGCATGTCGAAGACTTGCCCGGTTCTTACACTTTTTTCTCCATTACTACCCAGTTCTTTGGGAAAACCGGGACTGGAGTTCATGGAGAACTTTTGAGGTTGATGAAAGAAAACGGAAGTGTGGCACTGGGAAGGAAATATCTCATGGTTTATGCATTTTCATTTTGACTATATGGAGAAAGGTGATAGGCCATTATGCCCTTTGAATTAGGTCAGCTTTAGTGAGGTGAATCAATTCCTTGGGGGAGAAAGAATTCCCCTTTCGTGGTTTTGCTAAATAAACACTAGTATTAGATGAATAAAAGCCTTAGTAGAAGATGTCTGGGATGACGATACAAGTGCACAGCTGTAGTGACACCCAGTGCTTTGGCCTAGTCGTCCTCAGTCCAGGATTCATAAAATGAAAGGGCTTGTGGTTACGGGAACACTTACCCAAGATATGACTGTTAATTAACTCTTTGCACGAAGTTAATTTGCTTAGAGACCCTGTGTTAGTTGGGAAATAAACAATGCCCCGAGGGATTTTGTAAATGTTGCTTTTTTTCTCCTGTGTTGCTTGCCAGTTTAGGGTGAATGAGTTCGGAGCTTTGGAAGTTATCACAGATGACAGTGAGATGGACAGTGTCAAGAAAGCAACTGCCACCACCACGTGGATGGTCCCAACTGCTCAGGAGGGTAAGGCTGGCCCACCCGCCGCTGATTTCTTGTTATCGACCAATTAAAACCAGTCTGTCTAAGCTTTTAAAGGAGGGCCAAACTTTGAAATCCCTGGATTACTTTTGTGTCTCATGTCCCTACTTAAATTTGTGTAATGGACCAGACAGGAACTAGCTATTACATTTTGAAATAGTTATACACTGTCTTATTTCTAATGCCAGATCTGTAATAGCATGAGGTCAGTTGCAAATTATCCAGTAAGTCCAAGTTGCTAATGGCCTACCTAGGTGATTTAGTCAAAATGCCTGGCACTTTGGTTTTTTTGTTTGTTTTTTTTTTTTTTTTTTTTCTCATCTACTCTGATGGTTGTAACTAACACCTATATGCTGACGACTCCAAAATCTATATCTCCAGCCCCGACCTCCCCCCCGAGCTCCAGGCCCGTATTTCCACCTGCCTACTGGACATCTCCACCTGGATGTCCCACAGGTACCTCAAATGCCACATGTCTGAAATGCAAGTCACTTTCTTTTTCTTTCTCTCTTCCCCTAAGCCTACTCTTTCCTCCGTAGCCCGTGTCAGCTGACGGTAGTGCCGTTTACCTGGTGTATTCTCAAGAAGCCTAGGAGTCATGCTGCACTTGTTTCTCCCATCTCCTGTTCCTTAATGCTCTCGGGTTTATTCCCTAAATAAGCCTCAGATCTGGCCTTTCCTATTCTCACCATCACTGCCTTAATCTAGGCCTCTAACTCTCCCTGAAACTATTGCAGAAGTCTGTTAAATAATCAACGCTTCTAACTCACCCCGTTCCGATTTATCCTGTACCCTGACGTCAGTGGAACTTGCATAGACTGCTCACCTGTTACTTGGCTAATTTCTCTTTGCCACCCCAGCAAACCTTCAGCAATCTGGTTGCCTGCACCCATCTGCTTGCTTTATCTACCCACTCTATCCCTTACTCCTGTTTGTTGTGCTCTGGTCCCTCAAGTAAGTAAAGACCAAGTGTCGTTTTCCAAAAGCCACCTATGGTCTCTGCTTCCCTGCCTTTGTTCACGCTGGGTTTTGTTGTTTTTATTTTTGTTGTTATTTTCTGGATCAAATGCCATTTCTTTCTTTGTCTATTTTTCTTCGGCCTTTAAAGCTCTGTTGAGGTGCTGTGTCAGAAACTCCTTCCTGACCTTACCCACCCCTGGCTGAATGAACCACCTCCTCCTCTGTGGCCCCCGAACTTGCTTGTACTTCTATGACTGCATGCATCCCACATGATTTGAAGTCCTGGGTGTCTTTTATGGCTTCTCTTCTAGACTGTGAGCTGTCTTGGGCGAGGTCTTTACTGACATAATCAGTGTCCAGCATAAATTGGTGCCTAATAAATGTTTGCTGAATGATTCAGGCAGAAGGAAATGGGAGTTCCTTAATGATTTGGATAATTATGATCCAGGAGATCAATGACATTTAAAAATTACATGTGATGATTTAGTAAATTAAATAAAAATCACTCATCAAAATGTTATAAATATGAAGTAACTTAGATTACCTTTTTAGCTTTATCCAAGAGTTACTTATAGATTATAAATTTTAGACCAGTAGTTTTATCTGGAATTCAGTAATTAATGAATTTTTTTTTTCATTCTATTTTGAACTCTGTCTGAAAAGCTAAGGTCTCGAGTAAGTTTTTTGTTTATTCTTTTTGGTGATTTGTTGTTGTTGGGATAGGTTCTCATTGGGCCAGGCAGGCCTCAAACTCAAAGAAATCTGCCTGCCTCTTCCTCCCAAAGGGGGAGTAAAGGTGAAAGCCACCATGCTGGCCCTTTGTCTAGATTTTTTTTTTTTTTCAGCAGAAGTAATTCAGCTTAGCTCCATCCCCAACTTTATAGTTCCATCACTGATTCATTCAACAAACATCATTCTTTATCGTGTTGCTAACAAAATTAGTAAAAGAGAAAGTGTACATATACTTTGAAGTACCTGCTGACAAGGTTTTAATTTCTTTTTCTTTTTCATCTTCTAGTCTTTTCAGAGAAGACTGGGGTACCATTCAGGTTGAAGGATCAGTCAAAAGTAGATGGGCTTCAGTTTTGTGAGAACTGCTGTCAGTACGGTAATGGAGATGATTGTGTTTCTGGAGGAAACTATTGCAGCCAGAATTGTGCTCGGCGTGTCAAAGACAAGTAGGTTTCTTTCCCTTCCATCTGTGAAATGGTCAGACTTCCAGATCATAGTATCTTGAGGAGATGGAGGGTTAAGTGTGCTGTGGGACATCTGTCCCCCTTGGACCTGTTTGCTAGGTGCTAGGCTTTCTCTTTGGTAACACATGACCCTTGACCCCTCCAGTAGAGAAGGATCTACTGCCTTCTCTAGAAAGTCTATCCTAGTAGTGATGTTCTGTGCCTGTAGTCAACCACTGTTACCATTAATTTGATTGTTTCTGAGCTATGTGCACATTTGGACGGTACTGATATTTATGACAACACACTTGTTTACTCCCTCATGGAAATGTCCGTAGTAGACAGTGTAATTAAGTCCTTCAAGGATGACCTCGGTGAACATATAGTAAGTGTTGTGCCACCTCCCCATCTGGGGACTGTCTCACAAAGGGCATCTTAGGAGCAAAAATGTGTGTTTCTTGCATATAACATAGGACAAAATAAATGACTTGACATTTATATCTTTAATTTTTTAGAATCTTTTATGTATATGGGTGTTTTGTCTAGTGTGTGTCTATGCATGCCTCAGAGGCCAAAAGATGACATGAGTTCCTCCTGGACTTGTAGTTACAGGCAGTTGTGAGCCACCATGTGGTGCTGGGAATTGCACCTGTGTCCTCTGGAAGAACAGCCATTGCTTGTAATCACAAAGCCATCTCTCCAGCCCCTTGACTTTTGTGTTTAATGTAGAAACTGCTGATTGTTTTGTATTGACAAGGGGATTCTTTACAAATTTATAATTGGTCTTTTCTAGTGGATTTGCCAGTCTTAAAATTGCTAGTCCCTTGGTTTCAGTTTGTTCTGGCCATCTATATCTCTACATAATTGATTCTTTTTATTATTATGAGAGACAAGTAATTATAAACCCATTAGAATCCATTGTACATACATTGATAGTTCCCTTTTGAAGCTAATATATAAAATATTTTCCAGACTTTACCCAGAAAAAACGAAAAAATGATCTATGAAACATGATTTTAATCACATTTTAATATGCTAAAGTCTGTAGATTTCTCTTAGTAATTGAATATTTCCTTTAGAGAGTGATTTTTTAAAAAATAGTTCTGCATCAATAATCAGCATGTAGATATTTGATAGGTATTGTTTCCTGTCATTGTTTTGGGCTTATAAACACAACAGAGATCAGAAGGAAGAAAGAGATGGAGTTGAAGACAATGAGGATGAGGATCCTAAGTGTAGCCGGAAGAAAAAACCAAAATTATCTCTGAAAGCTGACTCCAAGGAGGATGCAGAAGACAGAGATGATGAAATGGTTAGTAGCCCTTATGTGTCCATTCAGAGACTTGGGTAATCTTGGGGTGTCTCTAGTTACCAAGTCTGTTCTGGAGTTAATTGCTTGAGATAGTTAATGCTAGTTCAGGGACCACTTATGTCAGGAGATTCCATACCACTTTATACCTCACAATCATGTAAAAATGAGAATAGTAAGTAGCAGTGTCCCTTTTTCAGTATCCAGAAGTTGGATGTTCTGGAATTTATTACTCTGATGAGAGACAACAATCAAACCTTAAGTTTTGTGGATGAATTTCAAATTCTCTTACTAGCAAAATGCCAGTACAATTTTGGTAAATTGCCAATAGATTTCATAAACTGTGTGAGTGAATAGAAATTGGCATGTAACTATCAAGTATTTCTAGGGGAAAAACCATCCAAAATGTGTTAATTGAAATGTAACTACTTTCACCCTAAAGTAGGGATTAGTAGTTTTACAGGAACAGGGAATTTTGAGGTCTTGAAGCATTTCACCCAAGTTCAGTTAATGAGCAGTTGTTATCTGCTAGACACTATTCAATGGACTGGGAATATGAAGATGGATAAGACATGTATCTTCATTAAGGTCATCCTTCCTGAAGATAGTGTGTTCTGGCTAAGGAGGCATAGTAAACAAGCAAAAAGAACCAGAGAGATACCAGTTTATCCTGAGTGCTGTGCTGGAATTTATAGTAGATCATTAGGGTTGATTGACTGGTCTATTCAATGGACTGGGAATATGAAGATGGATAAGACATGTATCTTCATTAAGGTCATCCTTCCTGAAGATAGTGTGTTCTGGCTAAGGAGGCATAGTAAGCAAGCAAAAAGAACCAGAGAGATACCAGTTTATCCTGAGTGCTGTGCTGGAATTTATAGTAGATCATTAGGGTTGATTGACTGGTCTAAATTGGGTTTTGACAGGAGGGCTCCTTAAAAGAGCAACTGAGACATGAACGTTAAGGAGGAATCAGCTGTATGCATTAAGCCCTCTGCACTATACAACGTCTGAGGAGAAGACCCGAAGTGAAAACAGTTGTAGCACATTTTGTTGGAGGGCACACATACACATGCGTGCGAACACACACACGCACACACACACACAGGTCATCGAGGTGCATGGAAGATTAGGGAAGAGGTGGGTGGGAAGCTGGGGTTAGTGTGATTTGGGTCAGGTCAACTCGATGGTTTCCTGAGTATAGTGGAAAGACACAGCAAGGGGATGCTGTGGTTCAATTTGTTCTTTGCTTGGCCACTTTGCTGTGACCTGTGTAAGCAGGGGTAGAGTCAGGAAACCAGTTAGATATTCTTGCAGTCACTAGAATAGAAGATTATGTAAGATAGAAGTTAGGTGATTCTGATAGAGTTAGGATTGTGAGGATATGTAAGAAAAGGGGAGAGTCGGGGATTCTATGAATCATAGATGCCTGGATTGAACAGATGCCTAGAATGTGGAGGCAAGTGTGGAGTGGAGTAAAGACTCGGGAGGCCTTTGGGTGTACAGAGTTTCTTGTGCTTGTTGTCTACACATCTCAAAGTCATTAGGGAGTCAAACACAGATACATGGAGTCAGGAGAAGGAAGCTAGTGAAAGGGTGAAATTATTTAGCGTATGAATAACCTTGAGGGATGGGGAGATGAGTAAAATACTTGTCCTGTGAATTTAAGGACCTGAATTTAGATCTCCAGAACCTCATAAACAGGTAGGTGTGGTAACACCGGCTTCTAATCCTCGTGCTGAGAATATGGAGACAAGTGGATCCCTGAAGCTCACTGGCTTGAAGCCTGGCTTCCCTGATGAAGTGTTCCAGTTACTAGGGGAGCCTGTCTCACAGGAAGGTGGAAAGAGCTTGAGAGATGACACCCAGACTTGTCCTCTGATCTCAGTACCATTTCAAGACATTCACAGCCATCCTCACACACAAAGAAATGACCTTGAAACCTATGGGCTAGAGGGGAGCGGAGGTTGAATGGGCGGAGACATCAGTAGAGAGTCTGCAGAAGGGCCAATGAGATTCAGGGCACTATGCATGGAGCTAAGATCAGGACATGTTTTAAGGAGGATGGAGCAATTGGAAATGTTCTTTTCCAGTGACTCAGTTAAAAAGCAACATGGTCTCAAGTGGGCCATATTGCCGCTCTAAAAGTTAAGAAACAAAGACCAACAGCAGAAAGCTTTTTGACAGACCTCAGTTTCCCTGGAGACCAATTTCAAATTTTTCCTTTCTTGCTGTAGGAGAACAAACAAGATGGAAGGATCCTCAGGGGTTCCCAGCGAGCCAGAAGGAAAAGACGTGGAGACTCAACTGTCTTAAAGCAGGGTGAGCTGATGATGTAAAAGCCGTGCCGACTCGGTGGCCCTGAAAATCCCGTTCAGAAAAGCAGTTTCAGTCTTTATGGTTGTCCACACGGTAGCAGAATACTCCATTGAGTTCCTCTTGGGTGCAGACTCCTCCATAAAAGCAAAGACTTGAGGGAGCAGCTTAGGAAGAAAAGGTTGCCACTTTTCAAGTTGTTACTGCTTATGTATGGACTTCCTTCTTTCATTTACTGCTTTATCCATCATGATGGTAGTTACTACTTCTACCCCTTTGCCCAAACCCCCTGTTTTTGCTCATATCCCAAGAGGTTAAGTTTATTGTGCTCTTTCAAAGCACGGCCCTTTCCACGAAATCCCTTTTTTCTTTCCCTTGAGGCCACATCTTGGGAAAATACATTCCTTGGATCTTCCTCTTTGCTGTTTGGTTGGATAAACTCTTCTTTGGTGTGGACCTCAGTCATTTCCTCATAAACTCCTCTCAGCCTTACTTCACATTGCCCAATGCACCTGCCCTGTCAGGCCTTTGACCAAGGTTAGTTGAGGTCACTCTGACAGCCCAGTTACCAACCTGCTCAGGTGGTGGGCACTCTTCCCTAAAGGACAGGGCCGTGAACCAGCAACCCAGCACTCCCTTTGTGTGCTTGGAGGCACCCCTTGCTAGTTCTGCCATTAATCCCCCAGAAGGAGTTGTAAATATTTCATTCTGCTCTGTCTCTCGCTCAGAGCAGTACTTCCACATCCCTTCAGATAGTGTTTGTTTGTTCCTGTGATTAAGGGAAGTACATTAAATCCCTTAGTTGCCCTGCATGAAATGTCCTCGTTCTTGAGCCTTTTTCTTCTTTCCTCCGAATGCCTGCCCTGGATGAAATTCCAGGCCCTTAGCGCTCGTAGACCTTGCCGTCATTTTTAACCCCTTAACGCTCCAAGGTCCTTCCTTTGTGAACTGTGCGAGTGCCTTGTGCATCGCAGCGGACTCCCAAGTGCTTCCTGGGCTGCTATAGTCAATTTATGCCTTCTCTTCTCACAGCACTTTGTCACATCTACTCCAGGCCTTCTGATTTTTATCACATACGCATTTTTTGTGCTTAATGAATATGATTTTCACCACATCAGTGTTTTTCGTCATTTCCGAGATTAGCTGGTATTCCCCACGTACTCAGTATATTGTCCTTTGCTCTTCAGCGTCTGAAAGCCCTGGGAACAAACAATCAGCATGCTTAAACATCTTGCTCCTGGAAGATTTTACTTCCTATAGCTCCTCTGGGCTTCCTGCTGGACTTTTCATGTGTTCCAAGTCCTTCCGCTTTTCTTCTGCCCCTCATCAACTGGATATTTATATACCACAGTTCACGTTTTTTATGGAGGAGGAATCAGAAAAAGTGAGATGTGTCAGCTGTGGAACAGGAAGAGCCAGAAAGCATAGTATTTGCGCAAGAGAGATGTCCCGGAATATTTCATCGATTTCTTAGCTTTGAAAGTCCATTGTTTGGTTTTCTGTCTTTCAGGTTTGCCTCCTAAAGGCAAGAAAACCTGGTGCTGGGCTTCCTACCTAGAGGAGGAGAAAGCTGTGGCAGTGCCTGCAAAACTGTTCAAAGAGGTATGAGTTCCTCTAGCACTTTACATGAGCAGGAAACTCATCTGAATCCATATGTCATTTCCATTACCTGCTTAGGAAGTGTAACAGGACAATTTCTCAAGTATGTTGTTTTTCATGAGACTGTTATATGGAAGATCCCTCAAGAGGCAGCCATTATTAATTAGCATGTGCACACAATACAGTACGACACTGTATACACTCACAGATGCTTATAGTTTCGTCATTTTCACTCATTTTGCATTATAGGAATACTATTATTGAAACACCAATAGATACATTTTATGTCTAATTATGAGGACCTGAAAGAGAGTTACTGAGATTTACATCCTGTTAAGGAACGTTTAAAATGTTTTACCAGATGTATTACTGATAAGAATATTCCATCATAAGTAATTTAAAATCTGTTTAAAGTGTTGGTAGTGGGTATAGCTCTGCCTAAGATTTCTTGCCCCTGGACTCAGAGAGGTCTGGGTAAAGTTTGTCTGTAAAGGGTCATGTGTTTTTAGGGCATCTGGAGTCTGTTGTCACAATAGAGTTTGTTATATAACATGCCTGAAAGTGGCTATAGATAACATGTAAATTAGCAGGAATGGCTGTATTCCAATAAAATCTTATTTACAAAGCTGTGATGGACGAGATTTGACACACAGGCTGTAGTTTGCTGACCCTTCATTTAAATCACTTAATGTATTACAAACCTTCCATGGACATCCTTCTATTTATGAGTGAACAAAAGGAAAATGTAGCGATTAGAGTGAGTATGTCAGCACAGAGAGTTTTAATGCAAATATAATAGTAATTACAACTTGTCCCAGATAATATATTCTATTAGTTTGGGCCTATGCAGTTTTGGTCCTATTAGTGTTTAATAATGTGTGTGGGTGTGTGAGGGGTTGCCTGTAGAAGAGAACTTAAGATCCTCTGAACTGAAGGGACAGAAGGTCGTGGGCTGCTTGATTTGGGTGCTGGGAACCAGACTTGTGTCTGCAAGGGAAGCAAGTGCTCTTAATTGCTCTGCGGTTTCTCCATTCCCACCTCTTCACGCTTTTATGAACTACTTAAAGATAGTAATACATTCTGTGTTTTACAGTGTCAGTAAAAGGAAATGAAGTATGACCCTTATGGCTTTGTCCCCCTAACACCAGATTTGTCTTTACTGAAGGGGTGGTATTGCTAATGCTCAGTTCCTTCCTTCCTAGAATGGCATCACACAAGGCCCTCCCGGCCCTCTGGCCCTGTCTAAAAACACAGTGGCAATGGCTGGCCCATACTTTGTTAGACTTGCTTTTTTTTTTTTTAATATATAATATTTTTAATTTAAATTTTCAACAAGCTTGTTTTACATGTCAATCCCAGTTTCCTCACCCTCCCCTCCTCCCTGTCTCCCTACCCCCAACCCCCATCCCATCCCCTTTCTGCTCCCCAGGGAGGGTGAGGCTTTACATGGGGGATCTTCAAAGTCTGTCATATCATTTGGAGCAGGGCCTAGGCCCTCCCCCATCTGTCTAGGCTGAGAGAGTATTCATCTGTGTGAGATGGGCTCCCAATGTCTATTTGTATACTAGGAATAAATACTGATCCACTACCAGAGGCCCCATAAACTTGCTTTTTAACTGTACAGTTTGGAGATTTTTTTTATTTTAGGTCATCAATCCCTCCATCTGTCTTTTTATGATAAGCCATAGTATTTTATTCCATAAAAGTTTACATGGCTCTCTATTAGTTGACAGGCAGATATTTTTTTTTTTTTTTTTTTTCCTGGTTGCGGCAGTGAATGGTGTTGCTCACCTGACATCTTGCATTCTTGCATATGTACGAATATCTCCATTGGGTAATTCCCTGGAGTCAGAATTGCCAAGAGAAGACTCAACTTTTTGTAGATAGACTGAATTTGCTACCGATTGTCCCAATTTTTCATTCCCAGCAGTCCATGCCTTCATGGGGCCTTCCAGCACAGAGCTATCAAGCTCTTTGGTCTCCATCAGTTTAACAGGAAATATATCTTGTGTGGTTCTGATGGGCAAAGTGGACTGGCTGTCTCTTCAGACCTGTCAAAGATGCAGGCAATAAGTTAATAGATTTCTTTTTTATGACTTGTTCATAGCCTTTGTGAATTTTCCCTCTTTCATTCATCCTTTTCTTTAGGGACTTTTAAGCAGTTGTTTATTAATCTATATGCCTGATGAGATTATTAATGTATATGTCTGATGAGAGACATCTTTGGGATGGTAAGGTTGGAACCTAGGCCCTCGTCCTCTTAAGGGAAGCACTTAGCCAGCGAGGCCTATCCCCGGCCCTAAGGACTCATTCTAAAAATAGTAATTGCTCACATTTTGGGCAGGTGTTGGTGGTTGTAACGCTGCTGTCATTTTGCATTGCAGCACCAGTCCTTTCCATACAACAAAAATGGATTCAAAGTCGGAATGAAGCTGGAAGGTGTAGACCCGGAGCACCAGTCTGTCTACTGTGTCCTCACCGTGGCCGAGGTGAGCTTTGCCTTCTATTTGCTTAGAAAATAAAGTGATGACTGGGCCTTAGTGATGACAAAGAAATGTCCTCTGCTGAATATTTACTTATGGGAGGCATGATGCTTAGTGTTTTTATTTTTCTTATCTCTTCTGATCGTCATGAGATATGTCTTGTGCAACTCATGGTTTTTTTTTTGTTTTGTTTTTTTGTTTTGTTTTGTTTTTTCATCCTTGTTTCACAAATGAGGGACAGGAGGCCAGAGAGGTCAAGTGATCAGTGTAAGGCCACAGTCACAAGGTGGTGGACCTAGGGTTAAAAATGCCATCTGTCTGATTCTATAGACTTTACTGTACTGTATGTTCCTTGACAATAGGAAACACACACACACACACACACACACACACACACACACACACACACACACAGTGTGCCCACTATATCACTGAAAGTACTTTTTATATTTCTTTTTCCTCCTGTGGTAGCCCTCTTTCTTCTTCCATTGAAGTAGGGTTATGGATCTTTCAAAACCTTCTCCCCAAAGGAGTAAGGTGTGGGTACTAGTTTTAGTTATTGTAGAGTTCTTTCAGTGACTGGTTTACAGGGCAAAGGAGTAAGGTGTGGGTACTAGTTTTAGTTATTGTAGAGTTCGTTCAGTGACTGGTTTATAGGGAGCTTGCTTCCTGCAGAAGGCAGAGTGTGATGGCTGTGTGTAGTGACCACGGAAATTGTGGTTTCCTGGAGCGCAATGTGTGCCCAGTGCTGACTGATGTGATCTTGGGAGGCAGCAGCAACAATGGCAGGCATTGTTAAAGATGAGGCCTTGGTGTCCTGGGCCTCCTCAAGTGAAGGATCTGGAGGCAGGATTGAGTTTAAAGAGTCAGTAGATCTAGATTGCTTTTAAGAGATTTATCTGTAAAAGAAAGAACCCCTGCGGGGGGCAGAGGTGGTGTGTGTGTGTTTGTGGATTTTATGGGGTGGGGTGTCAAGGGCAATGTGTGTGTGTGTGTGTGTGTGTATTTTAAAATCCTATGTTTGCTTCTTCTTTGTTCTGTTGAAGATGGAAGGCAGAGCTTCACATCGCTAAGTAACCATTCTATCACCAAGCTACCTAGTTGCTGACTCTTGTTTTTTGAAGGTATTTTACTTACTTTAGGGTTTAGATTATAGAAGCTGTTTGCTCTTTGTAGAAACTTCAGAGTTAAGAGTATTTACTATCTTTGTCCCATTTACATCATGCCACAGCCCACAGATCATCACCCTTACCAGTTACTGCTTGCTTCTAGTAGATGCCTTCTCTCTACATTGTTTTATATATCTATTTTTCCCTTTACATGTAAATGTTACATTATGCATAATCTGCCTCTTGTTTCTGTTATACACACACACACTCTTTTTCCTTTCTTGTTGAAAGGGTTTTGAGATGAAAGGGTGTCTTGGTGATCGAGGCCAAGGAATGCCACAAAAATCACACCATGCAGTGGACCTCATACAAGAGATTTGTTAGGGGTTGAAGGCCAAAACAGGGGTGGAAAACCAGGCTGTGATAGTGGACTTTACTGTGGGCAAGGTCTGGAGCTTGCACATAGGGAAAATGCACAAATGGAGACTGGTAGTTGGCCATTAGTGATGCTGACGGAAGATGAGGAGGAACCAAGTTCTGAAATGTGGGTGGTTTGTAGGTGACTAACGGTTGTCCCACGGGATTGCTTTTATTCATTTCAGCTGCTTACATGTTGATACCAACTGAATGGACACCTATTTCCCTAAGGCAGCAAGATGGTGAATTTGAAGCTAGACTGCATAGTGGGACTCTGTCCCCATCCCCTAACATCACCAACTATGTTCTTGAATGAACAACCTTTCATTTCATCATCTTTGGTTCTTTCTGCTTATGCATACCTGTGGGAACCAACTCGGAAACTCCTGAATGAAGAGTGATGTTTCTGATACACGCTGCTGTGTGTGTGACAGGGCCAGGCTGTGCAGAGTCTGCTCTGTCTCCTGTTCTTGTTGAGGCCATTTTAGGTTTAACTAGCTTTCCTGGAGTTTATCAGTTCTTAAATCTCTCCAAAAAATGCATGAGAATTTGTTTACCCAAGACTGAATAAGGGTTTTGCTTTTATTTTAATCTACCCTCTGCCCTGGAGAGGGCAAAAGAGCAGATGTGGTCTTGATATGGGAGGGCTTTGGGGCTTCTGGCTTGCACAGGAAGAAGGGCTAAAGGCTGGAGTCCTGAGCACAGCAGGCTTGCCTGTTTGAAGCAGCGGGGACAGGGACACAGGTGTTGAGCCATTGTCAAAGAAGTGGAGATAGGTGGATTACTGTGGGGGTGGCAAGGAAGCATGAATAATGAGAAAGGAAGGAGCATTCCCTCATAGTTGAGTTCTGTCTTACTGTGTAGAATCTACTTCCTGCCTCAGTTTCCCGAGTGCCGGATTTGCCACCAGGTAGTTGATTCTTGTGACTGGATTCTTCTTCCTCAAGGTTATTATATCCCTCATATTAGCTCATGGGAAACCATGACTCCAACAGGAAATGTAGATTTAGGTTCTTAGGAGCTTCTGGTCCCAATATTTTGGTCAGCACACATACATGTTTTTGTTTGATGACTCCTTATTTATCATATTGTTGTTTGTTAAAATGAACTTCTCATTCACTAGCAAGCTCTGCAGTGCACAGGTGAATAGAGCCTCCATGATACATACATTTCCTATGTTAGCTATGTCATAGCATTCTGGGCGCTTAGAAGTTAACGAGTGAAATCAACAGAAAGGCTGAAGATGTGAAAAACATGGTACTAAATAGAGAGTTTATAGGATACTTATTCATAGGGCGAATGAATGCCCCACCAAGAAGACTCTGCCTAACCCTGCTGGTTAGGATCCTGGATGACTCACCTATTGTTGCCATCCAGAATCCACATCTCTACCAGCACCAAGTATGCTAGTTTTGGTTAGAAATAAGTTTTAACAAGCAAGTGAATTCATAGATACAGAACTTATGAGTATTGAAAATTGACTTATTTTTTTCTACCCAGAAGTGTTCCCTAGGCTGGGTGTGGGCACACTCTCGCAATCTTGGGAAAAGGTGGGCCAGAAATTGGAAAGATAGAGGGAGGCTTTCTTTCTAGGGTCAGACCTTTAATGTCCTAGGAGTTAAAAGGCATGGCCGTTTCTGGTGGGAACCAGTTCCACAGGAGCATTGTCTGACACAGGAAAGAAAAAATATGTAAGTCCTCTCAATGGAGAGGAGGTATCAGCAGGGGCTCAGGGTCTTACTGAGTGGGGACATGCTAGAAGTATAGGACAGAGGATGACCAGGGTGAGAGACAGTGTAACCCTGTGGCCCAGGCCCTGGAATAACAGAATACAGGAGTCAGCTGTAGAGAATGAAAAGCCTTGGGGCAAGGTAGAGTTGAAAGTAGTCTCTAGCGGGAAGGCTGAAGATACAGGAATACTGTGACCACAAGGGACTAGAGGCTGTAAGTGACTAACTAATGGCTTCACTTGTAGGAGGTAGGCAGAGACATCTGCCTGCAAGGCAGAGTGGATAAGAGGCCTCTGAGCCCCCTCTGGGCATTAGATGGAGGTGGGAGTAGCCCTCAGCCAGATCAAATTCCCTAGGGGCCTCAGTGTCACCTAGGACTCTAGAGTAGGCGTAATTGTAAATTTGTGTATGCTACATATTGATGCATTTTTAACTAAAAATGTAACATAAAAATTAAATGGGACATTATTCTTTTTTGTGTTGTCAGGTTTTTTGGTCCTTCCTTTTTTGTTTTGTTTCTGTTGTTGTTTGTTTTTTGAGACAGCCTTGGCTGTCCTGGAACTCTCTCAATAGACCAGGCTGGCCTCAAAACTTACAGAGATCTGCTTGCTTCAGTGCTGGCATTAAAGGCATGCACCATCACACCCATCTTCTTCCTTTTTATTTCCATTTCCTGGAAGAAATAATTATCAATATTTTTGTCGTGTTCTTTAAGATTTTAATGATGAATTTATTTATATGTATATATGTGAAGATGGATATGTATGTGTGTGTGTGTGTGTGTGTGTATATATATATATATATATATATATATATATATATATATATATATATGCACAGACAGGCTCACCTTGTATAATTTGCTCTGCACTTGAAGTTTAGCAGGCTGTTTTAGAGGCTTTTCTATGATAGTAACTAGTTTCCTCACCTTTGAGGAATACAGTGCTGGCTCTGTATTCGGCCTCCACTTTCTTGTGGGAGTCCTCACATCTGTGTGGCAAGCACCTTCTTAACATTGACATCTCCTTAACCCCACTAGCAATGTGTCATACCTATTACCTACGTTAATTTATTTTGTGCAAGTGTGTGTGTGTGTAAGTGTGTGTGTGTGTGTGGGGTGTGTGTATGGGTGTGTGTGTGTAAGTGTGTGTGTGTGTGTGTGTGTGTGTGTTTTAACTTACCAATCTGCTTACCTATTTCAGGTTTGTGGATATCGGATAAAGCTTCACTTTGATGGATATTCTGATTGCTATGACTTCTGGGTAAATGCAGATGCTCTGGACATCCACCCAGTCGGGTGGTGTGAGAAAACGGGTCATAAACTCCAGCCTCCAAAAGGTACTGTTCCTTTATGCTTCATGCTTTAAATTTAGTAAAATCTTACTTTATTAGATGCTAAATTCTTAGAAGATATTCTTTCTAGTAATTAAGTCAAGCTCATTGTTCATAATGTAAAACATGTTTATTAAAGTCAAAGAAATAAAATCTAATTTAGGAGAATAAATTATTTCCATGTACTTGTTTTCATAGAGATTAAAACCCGAATAATAATAATTTTTGACTATCAACAACTTTTACATGCAAATCTATTTTAACTGTATATATGTATACAGTTATATATGTATATATGTATACACACACATATACACATAGCCTTGAATAAGACTACTTGAGACATTAGTTTTACTGCTATTTCAGTATATAAAAAAGAGAAGCCAGCTATGATGGCACATACCGGTAATCCTAGTTACTAGGGAGGCTGTGGTAGGAGATTATGAGTTAGAAACCAGTTTGGGCTTTACAATGAGTTTAAGGCCAAGACTAGACCTTACCTAAGGTGGGGGGAGAATGTGAATATCTTGAGAAATTATGTCTTGAACCCATAGATTTTGATTTTTTGAATTGCAGAAGAAAAATAGCACTAAAAACCACCATGCATAAATACTGAACTAATCATAATTATTTTTCAGTGCTAGGGATCAAGCTTAGGGTCTCATTCATGTTGAGGAAATGCTTTACACTGATTTGTGTTCCTAGCTGAATGGAGTGCTTTGCTATCTATTTACTTATGTATTTGTTTGTTAGTTTGTTTATTGAGACTTGAAGCCTGGTCTCAAAATGAACTCTTCAACGTCTTTCCTGTCTCCTGAGTACTGAGATAGTGACACACAACCATACCTGGTGGAACCCTTTATATTATAGTCTGCCAGGGTATTTTTTTTTAACCTCTTTTATAATTATTAAAAAAAAAAAATCCTCAGAAAAACAGGTACTATTATTTTCAGTCCATCCCCTTTGTATTTAATATTTCCTTCTTAACTTTTTGGGAATGTCAAAAGTTCAAGCTGTCAGTTTGATACTTTCGTGGCTTCTCCCTTCGGTGTTGGGGGTTGGAACTCAGGACCCCTGCAAGAGCTCTTCCAGGCAAGAGCTCTTACCACTGAGCTGCACTCCAGCCCCAGAGATATTATTTTACCGTAGGCTACTATCTCTGTGTTCTTGCTAAAAGTTAAAGATAGTATGGAGTTTTGAGATATATAAAAGCCTATTTAGGAGTTCACTTCTCACAAGAAAATGCTGGCTGATAAATTGAAATGTTAGACAAGGACTCTACCATTACGATAATTTGCCAAAACCCTTTGTGAACCTGGGGTCCCCCCTCCTTTTTCTTTTCTTTTCTTTTGAAGATCTAAAATGATTTATCTTTTCCCCCAACTTCCTATTTGTTCATATTAGTCTCTCAAAGTAAATGAGGTGAGGGAGAATGGGGAATGAGGAATGTGATTACTCCAGTTCACTAGTCCTGCTTCTGAGAAATTGTAACTACATGGTTGCTAGAAGTAGCTTGACGACACAAAACCTACCAGGTTCAGAGTACGTGTCACATCCATTTAAAAATAATAACTAAGCACAACCTGTATCTAAAATATATAGTTATATAGTTATAAAGTGTGGGTTAAATTGTATTTATTGAAAAAAATCATTTGGCTGCTTGATTTGAACATGTTTCAGCTACAGGCAGAGTAGGATGGGGATTACCTGTTACTGCTTTGTGTTCCCTAAGGCTGTGCACATGTGCTTTCACTCCAGGGCATAAAGAAGAAGAATTTAATTGGCAGTCCTACCTTAAGACGTGCAAAGCCCAGGCTGCTCCCAAGTCATTATTTGAAAACCAGAACATAGTAAGTGTATCCAAAGTGCTTTTCCTTTCAGGGCTGATTCTATTTTTAGTGTCTCATAGGATAAATCACAAGCGACAACAAGGAACTATAATAAATTTTATTGCCTTTGAAGAATTCTCGTATCTTAATTAAACTTTAAAATTAACTTAAATTCTTCATGAGTAAATATCTATTTTATAGTCGTATTATGGTTGTCTTATTGAATGGTATGACATCGTAATGTGAAATCCAGGTGTGACTTACAATTAAGATGCATTGCAATTAAATCAGCTGCAATATTATACTGTTGCCATCATTTAACTAGGAGCACTGTTCAGAAGGGAGGCACGGTGTGATGGATGTAGCCGTTTGAGTTTGCAGGCAGAAGGCCACCAGGGACTCTACCGTGCCTTTATTGCTGCTTACAGCTCTGTTTGTCGTAGTTTTTGTAGCAAAAATGAAGGCAGATGTGTATGCATTTTCTGTTTCTTTGCTGTCTTTCTGCTTTTAATTCGTGTTCCTCCCATGGCATATCAGAGAGGGACTTATGCATTACACCTTTCCTTCCCCAAGATGTGATCTAATTAGAGCAGGGGTAAACAAAATGTCATCCTTATAACTGACAAGAACTAGATGGGAGGACACATACGACCTTTCACTGCAGACAAATGAGCCTTTTAATTCTGAGTCCTAGAATCCAAAGTCTTTCTTTCTTTCTTCATTTCTTCCTTCCTTCCTTCCTTCCTTCCTTCCTTCCTTCCTTCCTTCCTTCCTTCCTTTCTTTCTTTCTTTTCTTTTCTATCCCACCTCATCTGCAGTACCGGGAGCCCTGAACCCTCAGCAGATAGAGTAGAACACACCCCTGCAGCCTGGCTCTCTTAATAGTACAAGCATCCTCTCCTAGATTCATCCTCTAGGTAGCAGAGAGTAAGAGGGTAGAGACAGCAGCATCACCATGAGGGTCCCCTCCAAATGGAACAAGTATCAGCAATGGGGAGCCTTTCGATCTAGATAGTGATAACAGGCAGCTGGTTTGAGGATGCAAATCTAATGGAGGGACTATTCTCTGATTAAATTAAATATAACCAAGGTTGAAATAAGAATGAAAGGAGAGAAAATATGGTCAGCCAACTTTATTATCTCTTAATTGGGCAGACAGCTTAATCTCTGAGATGTAAATACTGACTTGTTGGTGTATGTTCTCTGACAAGACATTTCCCTGGAGGAATGTCAGTTGTCTGGAAACTCAGCAGCCTGCTGTCTCCACCCCATGGCTGTTCCTTTGATGATGACTTATATCACGGTGTCATTAACTACTTTGAACCATCACTACATTCTGGGCATGGTTAACACACAACCTAATCTTTGGCCTTTGTTGGTATTTGAGATTTAATTACGTTTTCTATTTCTAGATTCTCTACATCAGAATAGTAAGGTATTTATGGTCATAAATGATATATAATTTTGGGGATCAAAAATATGGCAAATTTTCTACATGTTATTTGCACTTGTACTTGCAGCATTTTCATATAGACTTGTTTACATTTTTGCGACCATAGCTATATAGTTTTACTTTTACTTCAATCTTTTACAGTAAAATGAAATGTAGCTTTTTTGATGTATAAAGCATTAGACTAGTGCCCATATGCTTCTTTGAAATGAAGGGTTTTTACTGGATGGTGGAAATAACTTTCATGGTTTTGTAGTTAACAGGGTGGACATTCAAGTATTCCACACTGAGATTAGAATATTTTTTCGGCCAGAGATTGTAAGGTTGTTTACATATGACTGTCCCTCAAGCACTAACTCAGTGAGCTTCTGTTCTCATTGCGAATCCCAGATGACTGATCATCTGTGGATTTCCTTAAAATACCTAATATTCCTAACGGCAGTGTATATCAACAGCCAGCTGACGTGCTGCTGTAGGAATAAAAACTGTCTGTAGTAAGCTGTAGTTGTAACAGCTCAAAGCTTTTCATAAATGATGGTGACCTACTTTCTGTACAGTGCTTGAGAGATCTTCTCAGAAGTGGAAGTGAATTTGTACTGACTCCATATTTTTAAATCAATTAAGTGCATCTTTTGTGTGAAATTATTTTCATTGTCTAATCTGTAATTAAGTGGGGGGAGGGCCAGGCAATCAGCCATGTGGTGAATAAAATTTGCCTAGTGTACATCCCCTAACTAAGGTATTAAAACACACATTGAAATTAATTATTTTAAACTCTGCCAGGTTGCCGACGTTTTAGTTTTAAGGCCGGGATAGTTAATTGAATGTAACTGTAGAGGCTTCAATTTTTATTGTTGCCCATGGAAAGCACCCCGCTGTGAGGCTAGCACTGATTTTCATATTACGTGAATATAGCTGTAGATGCTTGTTCTTGAAGCTGGGGTACAGACTATGCAGCTCTCACTGTTGTGAAGTATGCTTATCTCTAATTAAATCTGCATGTTTCCATAGACAGCGATCCCATCAGGCTTTCGAGTTGGAATGAAGCTTGAGGCTGTAGACAAAAAGAACCCTTCCTTCATCTGCGTTGCTACGGTAACAGATATGGTGGACAACCGTTTCCTGGTACATTTTGACAACTGGGATGAGAGCTATGACTATTGGTAAGACAGTTTCCATTAATGTGTGCTTTTGAAAATTTAATGCTTATCTAGGGAAAGTGAATACGCCTTTCACAATAAGGAACAATGTGACATTTATAACAAAACAAAAAAGCCTGACATCATCCTAGCTCTTGGGGAGGTGAGGCAGGAGAATCAGAAGTTCAAGGTCATCCTCTGCTACCTAGGGAGTTTTGAAATAAGCCAGGATTATATGAGACCGTGTCTTGAAAAAATAAAAAACAATGGGGCTGAAGAGATGGCTCAGTGGTTAAGAGCACACATTGCTCTTCCAGATAAGCTGGGATGATTAACAGCACCCACATGGCAGGTCATGACCCCTTTTCACTCCAGTTCTAGGGGAATCCAATGTCTTCTTCTGGCATCAGTGAGCACTACACACATGGTACACAGACATGCATGTAAGCAAAATATCCATACACAAGAAAAGGGAAATGGGAATCAAAGTTCTGTTCCACTTTTTCTTATTCCACATTTTTAAGCTTTGTTTGTCTCATATTGCACTTGTTTCTAATTAACATTCTTCCAGATGACTCAGGATTTGTGTTTGACTTGAAATTGACATGAAATTGAAATTTGTGTGCCCATAGTCCCAACAAAGACGTACATGTGCTAACATAAATTTGCATGTACATCCATGCACAGACTTACTTTCCTCCCTCTTTTGTGTGTCTGGTATAACTTTCTAGGAATTTATTTCAATCAACTTTCCATACTTTTGTACTCAGCTAATTGAACCATTCAGATAGCTGAATACAAACGGTACCAATTAAGGAATATTATTTTTAATCCTTACCACTTTTAGATATACTATATACAATAGTAAGAATACCATTCTATGAAGTTATGTAATTATAAATGCATTATAATAGAGTGTTTGGCTTTTGTATCCTTGTCTGTGATGCTAGGGATCAAACCCAGGTGCTTGTGTGTGCTAGGCCAGTGCTCTCTCTATGTCTGGACCACAGCTCCAGCCTTAACTATTGCATTTGATTTTACAGCTGATCACTAAAATTGGTTTTCCTGGTGAAGGACATCCATCTCTGAATGTGAAATAAGGACACGTGAAATAAGAATATTGGAGAGACATGTCCAATGTAATAGGACTGTTATCAAGTGAATAGGAACTTCTGTAAATGTTTCATTTTGTTTCTTCAAAGATGTATTACATGTATTTATATTTATTGAGTAGAGTGTATATGGAGCTCGCAGGACAACATTTGGAAACTAGTTCTCTCCTAGGATGGGAATCCTAGGGGTTGTGCTCAGGTTGTCAGGGTTAGTGACAAGTCCCTTTACCCATTAAATTTCACTTTTTAATACGTATATTCGGTAGACCCATCAATAATCCTCATTACTCCTCAAATTGAATTCAGCCTTACTTGAATTATTTAAGAAGGTGAATCATTGAATGTATGCTTTTTTCTTGTGTGGGAATATATGGTACTTGCATTTGGAGCCTAGAAGTTAAAGTCAGCATCTTCCTCCACCTCTTCATTTGTTTTCTGAAGTAGAGTCTTCCACTGAACTATAGAGTTTGCCAATTCAGCTAGTCCAGCTAGCTATCTTGCCTGGGGAATCCCCATCTGTTTTCTGAGTGCTAGGATTACTGGATGGCTGCCACACCCACTTGGCTTTATGTCAGTGCTGGGGTTCCAAACTCTGATCTTCATGTCTGTGCAACAGACATGAGCCATCTCTATAGCCCCACCGAAGACTGCCATGCGTACTCTTTAGTTCAATTTAGACAAAATGAATTAATGCTTATTTGTATGACCACATAAGTATCACAGTGATTTAGTTGTTGTTGTCAATTTTAATTTTTTGTTTGCTTTTTTGAGACAGGGTCACTTTGTATTATAGTTCTGGCTATCCCAAAACCTGCTATGTAGACCAGGCTGGCTCCAAACTCACAGAAGTCAACCTGCCTTTGCCTCCCAGTGATTGATGGATTAAAGGTTTAGCCACCATGCCCAGTGCATCAGAGTGTTTTAAAGCCATAATTACTTCTTTGATATGACATTGCCTCTGTACATGGATTTCTGTCCATGCAATGACCATGGGAAGCTTTGGCATAGGCACGTTGATGTTGGTCACCTTGGTGAACAAACAAAAAGGACCCTGGGTCCTTCTGAGAAAGAGCAAAGTGAAAATCTGATCTCTAATAACTGATTTTGGACTTTTAAAAGCATAAGCTAATGTCCTTATTTTTAGCTTAGAATTTCCTTTGAGGATTATTTATATTTCTATTGACATGAAATCATATTTCCTTAATTGTCAGAAAAAGAAAGTGTGTTCCCTTTCTCAGCATGCAGTTAAGGCACATTAAAAAGTGCTTAACTGCCTTGGATTTCTCCAGTTCTCTAGTCTTTGAATTTTGAATTTCTTTCTGCATAAATTACTTTGGTGTATGGTTGAGGTTACAGATTCCCTTTTCTTTTTCAATTTAAAGTAGTTTTGAGATGAGAATTATTTACCTGCCTTGAGTAAGGTAGGGACATTCTGTTCCATTTACACAGAGGGAAAGGAAAGCATAAATGTGTCTGTTGACATTGACATACTACATTTTTAGTTGTAATAAAGTATTTCTTCCTTCTAAAGATGAACATGGTGAAAATTTGGGCAGGGCTGAAGAAAGGAAAGCAGTATATGCTAGAAAGAAATTAGCTTCACCTCTGGGTTGTTGGACTTAGAAATAACCTTAAATATCACAGAATACTGAATCTAGAAAGTATTTTAACGATACAGGGCGGAATGTGAGGCCTGTTGCAGGGATACCGCTAGAGATAACCACTCAGAGACATCTTATAGCCGATTGAAAGTCTTTAGTTCAGTCAGCTGGCAGTACACTCAGGGACCCAAGTGTAACACTGAGGGTTAAGGGCAAGGGGTTTTTGAAGGCAAAAGCTACTCTCTAGTATCTTGCTCCGGAGTTGCAGGGGAGGTTTTGTACAAGCAAGCAGTTAAACAGAAGCTAAGTGGTTAGCTGGGGGAGGAGGTTTGAATAAGCAGGCAATTTAAAAAGCTAAGGTAAGTTATCTTGCGCATCTTGACTTCTGGTTCCAAGAATAGAGTTGGGTAATTTCCATGGACTCCATCAAGGAGATCAAATTCTAGTTGAATCTGAAATGGCCTCAGCAAGGATACAATATAGAGGAAACTTTACATTGTCTTGGTCTGTCACAAGGGCCTTGGGAGTCCTGTACCCCACCCTGCTGTTGCATACACAGCCTCTTTCCCTCTTAACTTACTGCTGTCTGATACAGGGCACCAGGGGCGGAACCTATAATTGGAATAGTCCCGTCTTCTTTACCCCCAGGTGCTGGGAAATATTCTTCCTTGTAAGAAATGCTATTTTCATGTGACCTTGTCTTCGAGGACTCTGGACAGCACGACAGCAAGACTTATAGCATGTTCAGCACAAAGCCCTGAGTGAATAGAACTGCAGCTTTAGCCACTTTGATTTTGTTTTTGTGTGACATCTCTGAGTAAGGGGGCAGAAGTCAGCAAGGAATAGATATGTAGAGCATCAAAATCATGATTCACAAGAATGAAACCTCCTGGTTTGTCCCCAGTTGTTACCAAGTAAACTGCAAACTTTCTTTTAAAAATGTAGATCTCTTTTATATTCATGAATTGAGAACAGTAATAATTTTGTTTCTCCCCGATGTAATACCGATGTGTTTGTAACATGGGTCTTAGAGTGATATCAAAGGTGATGATGGTCTTTTATTCCTAAGTTTAGTTGGAGGTGCACTGGGCGTCAATTTGATTGGAGGACATGGAGTGAGTGAGACTTAGATTATTGAACTTCAGTTCTGGGGCCTGTGTTCTAGGGTAGGAGAGAAACATGCCCCCAGTCATTGGTAGTTAGTGTTTAATTGTTAGGACCAACTGTGGCATAGGAGTAAAGAATTGACTCAGCCTCCCTGGAGGGTTCACAGGAAAAGACTTCTCAGAAGACAAGAGGTTAGAGTTACACCATAAAATAATGCAGTCAGCACATGGTAGGATGGAGAATCACTGGCGAAGGAAAGAGTGTCTGTTTGGCCAGGGGGTAGGGTATGTAGAAGTTGGCATAAGATTACTTACCTCACACTTTAGTTGCCCCTTGCAAAGGGGCCTGGTGATGCCTGCTTCATCACATGCTGCAGGAATTCAAATATGTTAGGAGCAGAAACCAGTTTGCAAATGGTTGAGGAGGTGGCAGTAAGGGACCTTCAGTAGAAACACTGTGCTAAAAGCAAAGGAGTTTTGCCTGGGGAGTGTTAAGGGCACCTTCTGAGGTGGGGTCCCTGCACTTAGAGTTTTGAGTAGAGTTCCTCAGCCGGAGGAAGGCCTCAAACCACTGTGAAGGGGGGAAGTGGAAATGTCTGAGAGTACATTATTGGTCACATTAGTCACTCTTCTCTCTCAGCCCAGAGAAAAAGAAGAAACAAGTTTGATCCCAGGGTTGACTAACTAGGATCACTTTGATCTTTGCCAAGTTGCTGTATTATCTAGAGATTCTCAGCAAAAAGTGCATTAATTAATATGAATCGGGCAAGGAAGAGAGAGCTAGGTAACTCCGCCATGAAATCTGTAGTTGATTAGTAAAATGGAGAGTTAGCAGATGGTGGGTGGTGGGGCAGTAGTCAGGTCCTGGTTAGCAAATGGGCAGTTATGCTTTGGGATGAGGCGGTGGAAGAGGCTGGTGTCATTTCTCACAAAATTGCCGCCGTTGCTGTTTGAGAGAGACTTTGATGTTTGCCTTACATAAGCTCCTGGAAATACTCTTGCTTGGCTCTCTGCCTAGCCTTGCATATGTACATTATTTTATGTAGTTTTTGTCTGTGACATGATAGCACTTACTTGTAAGCTCATGGGAGGTGGTGGCAGAAGGATTAGGAGATGAAAGCCATTCTCAACTTCACAGCAAGTTCAAGGCTGGTCTCAAAACAAATGATCACCGCCAACAAAACGGATTTCTTTCTTTTCAACCC